CCCACCCAGGTGCAGCCACGAGATCTCCCCGCCACTCACTCTTCCCTCCGCCGCATCTTTCTCCAACTCTATGATAGTCTCCCCGCCCAGAGCCTCCCCCTTCGGACCTCACCTCATTCATACTCTCCGCTACTCTCATTTTCTTCCAACGACCCGTCCCCACCTTTCACGCCGCCTCCAATTTTCTCCACTGCGCTGCGCTATTCCCCACCTCGCCGTTACTCTCCCCGCTCCATCTCTCCTCGCCCTTCATGTCATTCACTTCCCCCCTCCACTCCTATTTTCCCCAACGACCTTCTTTCACCTGCGACGCCGGCATATTTTCCCGGCTCGCTTTTTTTTTGTCCCCTTACCGCCGCCGCACATCATTCACTTCCCAACACTACTCCCTTTTCCCCCCAAACGACATCTTCCAACCTTCCGCGCCATCTCACTCTCCACACGCCACTACTGTGCCTGTTTCCTTGTCTCGCTGTCTCTTTCCTCGCCCCCCCCCACTCTATCCAACACCTCTGCCTCCCTCGGCCTAACGTCGTTCACTACTCATCTCCTCTCCCCCTTTTTTTCTCCCATCGTTTCCAACGCCCCAACCCGCTCACGTCACCCCCGTCCAAGCCCACCCCGCTCTCTCTCTTGCTCTCTCTCCCTCTCCAGCCAGCGTTCCGTCACAACAGCCGCCCACGCGCTCCCATCCCGCGCCCTTGAACCGAAGCCGTCCGAACGCGTTTTAACGACATTCTGTCCCGACGGCGCGGCGGCGCCCTCATTTAATTATACCAACGACAGCCGCGTGGGCGGTTGGGCGGTGGGGCGGTCGGGCAGCGGGCGCTCACGGCCGCTGCCCAGCAAGATTCCTGCCGCACCTGCAGCCAACCCTGCTGCATCGCTGAGGCTCGTGCGACGTAGTTTCTCATCATCCGCGCCGGCATTTAGTCATCCACGCCAACTTTTTATGTTGTCATCCATGCTATCTTTTTACTTAGTTATCCAAGCCAACAAATTACGTAGTCATCCATGCTAAATGTTTACTTATTCATTCATGCCAATTTTTTACTTAGTCATTCATGCCAAGTTTTTATCCACTTATCCATGCCAACTTTTCACCCAGTTATTCATGTCAACTTCGTCATCCACGACAACATTTTACTCAGTCGTTCACGCTGATATTTTAGTCAGTTATGGCATTATTATAATCTTCCCCGTCAGTATTGTCATCTTCCTTGCTAGTATTGTCATGTTATTTGGAGAGACCACGAAGGTTGAAGTTTGGCTTATCCCATTGACTGCCCGTCGCGTTAATTGTTACTGCGTTTCATTCGGATGCTTGGCGTCTCAAGGGACACACCTGAATAAGTCAACGCAAATTCCACTCGTGGTTTGAAATTTCTTAGATACGCCCGCTCGTCCCTACGAGACTCGCGAATTTATCGATAAGTTTCAAACTACCAGTTACCTCTGGTAATTTCAGGAAGATAGATACTTCAGAATTTCTCTTCGCAGACGTTCTGTTAACATAAATTGTATAATCCCCTCCTCGCGGGTCCGAGAGCAATTTTCAGTCACTTTTTGTTCTATACCCTTACGATGCTGTCCTATCTGCTGGTAAAATCCCTTAGAAGTCGGAGCATGAGTATTAGGTGTGCGTTGTGGAGCTCCCGTGATTGCTTGGCTTTCCTAGAGGGTTCTCCCAGTCAGGGGCACTAGAGTGTGCTAATTTTCCAGACAGAATGGGCGGAGATTGAGACTTCGGATATCTGATTTGCGTAAAATGGGCTACACCTCGAGTGAAGTGGAAAATGAGATCAAGGATATGAGAACACAAGGCGACTCGATATTCTCTGGAGGAATTCCAAGCCGTGGAGTGATTATTACTTTACAATTAGGTTAGGAGGTCAAACTATTCTTGCTGATAAGTTTTTTATCTTTCAAAGATGAGATTTGCAATCTTCGACAATTTATTCCATTATTGTGTAATACAATATGGTGTAACGTAGTTTGTGTGTGCTGTTTTTTCGTAATCTGTTTTAGTTATTTACTTAATATTTTAAACCTAAATGTAGTTGTATGCACTTTCATTTGAAATATTTTATCCATCAGAAATCATAACCATAATTGTAGGCAATATGAAATGTTTGAACAATTCTAAATACAGTTTCATGGTCTTGGCAAAATAAATACGCAGAGATTGAACCATATTTTGCATTTTAACGCATTTCCTTCTTTGATATGTTTTTTCTTATATTACATAGTAAAATAAAATGGGATTCGCCAGAGGTTGCTTTTTGTGTAGTCGATCGATGTTCTTCGCGTACATGGGAAGTAGCAGCTCATTGTGCAAACAAAATAAGATCTCTTCGTGATCATAATTTAACTTTGAGTTTCGTGAAACTCTTTCTGAACAAAAACAGTATTCACTTCAAATGGTACCTATGAGATGGGTCCACATTAGATATAAAGAAACCAGTTGTCGAAGGTTACTATAAATTCCTGTTGCGGCTTAAAAAAATGGAACTGAACATGAATGTTTAATTAAGGCATTCAGCATGCACAGAGCACTATCTTACTTGTTTTCATGGTTACTATTACGTAGAAGAGAAGAGTAATTCCCTGTTTATAGGCGCAGGTACTAAGTTAGAGACTGACACAGGTACCAGAATCTCTGTTTCGCCTTCTGTAGGCT